TGGTTGGTGCAGATGACTTCACCCTGCTGGAAAGCCACTGCTGGGGTAAGGCATACTTTAGAATATTCTCTCTTGAGGTCAGCTGCCACCTTTATTAAAATGTTTTCAGACAGGTGCAATTAGGGCAATAATAACAACAGAACCCCACAATAAAAACCCCTAAACAATACCCCAACCAAGAGTTCAGCTGCTTCAGCTTTTATAGTTGGAGTCAGTCAGGGCTCCGCCCTCCCAGGCTGGGTGGAAAAGGCCTGCAAGGCAAGGAGCAGGTCTTCCAGGACTCACAGCCAAGATAGTCTTGTAATGGTGGGGGAGGCAATTGTTAAATGTTTGGGGCCACTGTGACACATGGTATTCTCCCCACCCTGATTTTGGGTTCTTTTGCATGTGACAAAAGCAACCGTAAACAGCTCCAAACATAATTATGCCTGGGACCCATTCTGTGATGTGAAAAAAACTAGAGATGTAGCCCAAAATGGACCCATAGCCTTCATGTCTGCTTTTTTTCTTTTCTTTTCTCTTTCTACTTTACCATTCTCCGTTTGATTAGAATAAAATGTACAATGTTTTCCTCTTTACTATAAAGGAAGGATCTAGTCCGTGTGGAAGCAACCGTCATTGAGAAGACGGAGTCTTGGCCAAAAATACGTATGATAATCCGTCGAAAGTCTAATTACAAGAAAAAAACGAGTAAGATGAAAAATATACATAAGCCCTTCTCTATCAAGCTGTAGAATGCTGTGATGGCACCTAAGCTGGTGTTATGTCTAGAATCAAAGAATCTATGTGTCCATAGAATAGCTGGGATGGTGTTCCATCATTTAGAATCCCTTTCTTTTTGCTGGTCAGTTATTCCTGGTTTGTCTTTCACTCTCCAGATCTTGCCTATGAAGCCAAAGATGTTAACAAGCTGAAACAACATCTTTAGGCTAATCTTAATCAGCATGGTTAGTAAGGAACAAATGACAGCTTATTCCTCAGTGCCTCTGGCAGAAACCTTTAAGATGTATGTGATGAGTAGAAACTGAAACCTGAATAGATTTGAAAGTGCTTCTCTTTGTTTAGGATTATTTGACTCTTTTTGTTAACATACTTAGGTAACTGAACTCCAAGGCTGTTCTCTGATCTGTGTTTTTCCATTCTCTTTCAGTTTTAATTCAGCCACAAACCGTTCTCCGGATAAACAGCATTGAAATTGCTCCTGTTCTGTCATGACGAATTGTTGGGCTTGTAGTTTCAGGGCGATATGAAAACTGAAAAATATTTCAGTTGCTTTTCATTTGTTGTCAATAAAGAAAACTATTATGAAATAACTTTTGTTCAAATATGATTTCTAACTTGATATAGATTGTTCTGAAACTACTGTCTTGTGAAATTGGCGGTTAAGGAATGATTGACAAGATACCCCCTGCCCCATCTGAGCTTGGTGTAGAATAATGTGGAAAAGACTACACAGCTTATAACCCCACCAGCTTCACACACACACAAAACACACACACACACACACCACAGAGAGAGAGAAGAGAGAGAGAGAGAGAGAGAGAGAGAGAGAGAGAGAGAGAGAGATGAGACCCTGCAGCAGCCCAACAGCCATGTGTGGTGGGGTTGACTGATTTGCCTCATGTTGGCTGCCTGAGACTGGTGATGGTTTTATTTTTCCACATGACTCATTTCATGCTAAATCCTCTACCTGTAGTTTAAATATCAGAATGAGTTCCCATAATCATAACATATCAGTGAACTGAAGCAGATGTCTCATTTAAAACAAGCAAACATATTCTTAACTTGTTAACATGGTTGATATTATTTTCTGTGCTGCAACAGTGCAGCCTAATCACCTCTGATTCAGCTCATGCCTCTTGTGCTGCAAAGCAATCTGCGACTGTCTCAGTGTTGTTGCAGCTCCAGCCATCTTGGGCAATGGTCAGAGATTACTGCAACTGGGGTTCAACATCTGGAGGGTCCCAGGTTTCTCCATCCCAGCTCTGAAGCTAATGCTGTTGCAGAACACTTGTTAAAAGTAAGTAGTTTTAAAATGTGCCACAGCATATTTTGTCTTGAGATGAAAATTGCTTTTTACTCACTTTGCTAATGCCATAATTGAGACCTCTACTTCAATCCTTCAGTACTCAAGTTTAATGAGCTGGATTAGCAATAGTGTTAGTTTCTTCCATTTCCTGATTCCTGCTGATGAAGAGAACCATTTCCCTCCTTCAGTCCTCTTTAGAGAACTGCAGAAAAACCACTTAGCCAAATACTAATGAACTGTAAGGAGCAGCCAGCATTGTTCCATGGGAGATTAATTCATTGTTTGTCCGATGAGATATCTGTTGCCATCGATTTTGCAAGAGCACTACATAGTGTCAACCTACTGATCTATTTATTCCTCAGAATGCTTGCATAGCGCAGAACAAAGGCTGGCAAATTAGGTAACATTGCACTTTTAACTGGAGCAATTTTCATTGGTTTGTGTACTGGCTTTCACCTTTCACAAAGCCATTCGTCTGTTAGATTGGTTAGTCAGAATCTATCAATTAAGTTAAACTAGCACACTTTAATGGAGCTGATTTGGTCATGCTGAAGTCAATTTATGCATCTGGTATAATCTAGAACCTAGATGTTTGAATCTAAGGGCTGGTTCACATAGACCAGCATCACTGAATAAACACAACAGACTGAACTTTTAACAATGCCGGTTATGCAATGCTTATCAATTTACAGTAAGTCATATGTTGCCAATCAAGTGCATAGAAATAGGTGATGTTCTTGCATGTGTGAATCAGCCCTTACTCCTGCTGGTCAAATGTTTAAAGATCTCAGAGGCAAATAATAAAACAATGCACATGCAAATGGAATCACCTGCTGTCACGGAGGCTGCAGAAGATCTCTATGACACTCATTCAATCCAACAGTAGTTGGAGAGAAGTATGACTTCTGGTTAAAATGCTGAGGATTGTGCTCCACCCTTAAAGCCCATGGGAGAAAGAATACAATGTTTTCCAGCTACAAGAAACTATAGCTTGACAGGTTTTTAAAATTCAGAGTCCGAGACTAAGCAGTGCTAGGAGTACACTCTTGGCATGATTTTATTTTTATTTTATTTTATTGTACAACAGCTTTGCTGGGTGTCTTAGAACTCTTTCTTCTGTCTGATTTATTTTCTCAGCATGCCATGAATTCATTCTGGCTGCAAACAGAAAACATGTTTTAACGACTCAGTTCAGCGATGCTATATAAATGAAAAGAAGCCTGTTTCTGTTGGGGTAAGCGGGGGGCATATGGAACTGAAATCCTTACTGGGAGGAAAGACTGGCAGCAATCTATTGCCCTAGCACACATCTAGTTGGGGTTCAAGAAGCTAATGCTTAGTTACTGAATGCTAAGAAAATAATGGGCTTTGAGCTATACAGACCCAAGCCCAAAAGCTAAGAACATACTGCCCATTGTTAATTTCATAAAAGTCAGTGGTAGTGGGCATTACTAATTATTTCCACGTATATAATGTTCAGGGTGTTTTAGGTAACATTATCTCAGTCATCCTGATAATAATTTTGTTAGGTAGACCAGTATCCTCCCATGGTACAGGTGGGCATCTGAGACTAAGAGAGAGTAAAGACTGTAATCCAATGCACACTTATTGGGGAGTAAATCCCATTTAAATCACTGGGATTTGCTTCAGAGTAAGCATGGATAGGGTTGGGCTGTAACTGGCTTAAAGCCTCCTGGTTAAGTAGGAATGGAGAAGAATTTTGGAAATGGGGTTGTGTAATTAACTCAGACAGGATTTCCATGAACCATCCCAAGCCAAGCTGTCCTCATACTTTTAAAGATGGCCTCCACTTGTGATTACCTAATGCCAGCCCTCTCGTCTACCAGCCTTTCTCTTCTCCTTCATCCCATCTTTCCTACATTTCCAAACAGGAGGGCTGGTGACTAGAGGAAGGAACCCCCCCTGAGCTTTTTCAGGGAATTCTCCAAAAAGGCTCACAGAAGACTCAGAAACAGTTTAATTAAGATGAAGATGTTTTGCCCAACACTGCATCTCAGCTACTGTCTACATTAAAAGAGAATTAAAAGGGGTTGGGGAGGCAGAGTTGAGCTCCAGTTTGACTGGATAATCAAACAGGGATAACTCTGCCTGATCCTAAAACCTTTAATGAACTGTATCACACACACACCCACACACCCATCATTTGCTTAATATTGTCCTGTTTCTGGTTTTGTTAATGGCCTTTAAAAAGCATGCCCAGTGGCTACTAACAGAGCAGAACGGCATAAACCGCCAGAGAATGCTCTCTTAAGAATCACACACAGTCTAATATCATTGACCATAGTGACTTAGAAGAAGGCCAGAACATTTAGATAATTAGAAGTCAAAATGAATGAGGGTACAGCTTAATTAAGAGTTATTCTGACACAGGGAATCTCACAAGAAAATCTGGCTAATCAGGAACTGCAAATAATCATAGTTCAGGTTGGGAGAAACTGCTGCATTAGAATAATTACAAAGATTTATGAGATACATGCTGTGCTGCAATAACAGATAATGGCATTAATAAGATATTTCATTATACCTCCTGTACATCATTTAATTACATGGTGACAGTTTGTCTCGAGGAACTCCCCCCGGCCTCTGCATCTTAAAAGCTAGTAATAATAAAATCAATCTCTGTCCTGAAAAAAGCATTATTGACTAGGATTTGGAATAGTATTATGACTACTGGTGCATCACGGTTCTAGCCTGAATACAATTTCTTTGACTCATCTGCTTTGTGACAAGTGGTTTCCCTCCCTATCTACAGGATAGATATCTATCTACAGGCCTTTTTAGGGGGGGGGGGAATGTATAGAACCACTTTGTTGAGGATCATGGTTTCTGAGGCAAGTCCCTATTTCAGGAATTTTTACTGTTTGGAACAGACATAATTTTCTTGTTACTTTTCTGTAGGCCTCAGAAACTTTCCATGTTAGTTTCTGCAAACAAACAAAACCACCTCTGATAATTATTCAATCAGGTTAAATTTAATCGTACAAAATAGATGTGACCTTATTCGGAGACATAAAGCCAGCTCCATGCCTGGAGCCAAGACATTGCTGCAAATCATTTACCACTTTCCACTTCTTGGACATCACCTCCCAGCTCCCTCCAAATCATATTTCTCACTTTATCAACCCCCTTCCCCAAATAACCTGGATTTGCCATTTTCTTTATGGTATGAGTCAGCCTCTAAGATGGGGTTTGGAAATATGCAGTTCACAGACACATGACTTACTTGTACAGCACCAGCCTCTTGGTAGAATCCTATTTCTTTCTAAGCAACAGGAAATATAAAATGAAAATGAAAAAACAATTAAACCATGATGGTGATATGTCTGGATAAGTTTTCAAGCTGCTTTCCCCACCCCACCCCAAATCTGAAGATTTCTATGCATGTCCCATTATTTTGAGAGCTACTATTAATTTTTCTAAGATGCATTTATTTGCTTATTGATTGATTGCTGTGAATTTATAAGCTGACCTTTGGCATAATGCTTCTAGGCTGACAAACATTTAAAATTATAAAAACACACGTAAAGACCAGGCACAAAGCAAATCAATAAAGCTGCAGCCACCACCAGCCAATAATGTAAAATCCATCAGAACCCATCAGACACAACTAAAAGCAAACTACACAACATGCTGGAATGCTGGGGGAGAAGAAGGCATTTGTTTGGCCTTCAAAGAATATCAAACACCCCATCAACACTATACATTTAAACTCGTATTATAACATTCTAACTAGTCATGGCTTTCCCCAAGGAATTTGCTTCTCCACCCTGCCACCCCCACAGCATGCTCTCTAAATCCCCAATCCTTCAGAGCAGATTTGGGAGAAGGAACACAGAAGAGAAGTTCTGTTGCACAAACAGCATTAAACTACCTCCATTGCATACGGTCCATGATATATTAACTCCATCTTGTTTTCAGCAAGTTGTTTTGTCCCATGTGAACCAATCTTCTATTACCACTAATTTTTAAGCATAATAAGATAGTAGTTTAAAAACCAGTAATCCAATCCCGCCATGGCATTTAGAAATGAACAAAGCTTTTTCAGTCAGTCTTGGTTCTCCATTCCAAATTCCCCAAATGGTTTTCTGCCACCACTCTAAAATTATTCAGTCAGGCCTCTACAATCATGTCTATTCATACAGAGAAACAATATTTTTTTGGTATACATCCATATTGGTCAAAACAATCCCCCCCCAAACCATGATAATGGAAGATTTGCCCAATTATCTTTCATAGCACTTCCTAGAAATTTCTGGTGTTTATCACAAGAGCTGAGTCATCAGCATAATGTTGCATATTCAAGCCTTGTTTTCTGTTAGTTGGGGTGGGCAACGTTTTGGCTCCGTGGGCCAGATCCTTATCAGGATCAGTCTTGTGGGCCAAATGTAACAGGTGGGTGGGAAGGCCTGACATCATGTGCAAGGTGCTTTGAAGTCCCTAAGCTGGTACTTCAAAGCACCTTGTAAGGCTAAATGCAAACTCCTTGGTAACAGCATACCCTCACAGTCTTCGCTTCTTCGCCCCACAGAAATGCCCTTTCATTTGACCTTTTTAAAGTATTTTTATTAAATTTTATCCCTATAACCCAAATAACAAAATAGAACTTCATGACATAAAAACCAAACCAAGGATGCCATGAGGTGTTACATTAATAAGAAAAAATAATAATTAAGAACCACCTTGAATTGAGCATAAAGTCAGTTCAAGCACTTGAGTACTGGCTCTGTCTCCAGCAATCCACCCGCTCTCAGGACAAAACCTCTACTCCAAACCATCGCCAGTTGGCACTACAGTAGTCTTGCCTTGAGGTTATGAATCCATGAGTGATGGTCGCTATATCTGAACATGAAAGAAAAATATGTCAGCACTGCTGGGGATTTTTCTCTTTGTAGATAAGAAACTGGAGTTGGTAACCTGATAGATTGCATGCAAGTTTCACATACCGAAGAGATGAGGTTACATATTTGCTCAAACCTGTAAATTAAGATCTGCAGTGATATACAGCTGCTTTGAGTTGTTCCCAGTGACAGTACAAGGAAAACAGCTGGGAAGTATGTAAACTACAAGTGGTTCGAAAATGACTTGCAAGTTGTTTGGGGTCATCGTTATTTATAATACTCAAAATATAACCAGTCTTCATATTGCGTTTGGGAAAACAATCAGCTGATGGAATACAAGGAAATAACAGTTATGTGAATGTGTTAGACAAAATGTTAATAAAAATGCCTCAATAGCCACAGCTACCTCACTGGGAGTGGAATTCAGGACTCTCGTCTTCTCTGTTTTTCTGGTTCTGAAAATGAGCAGGATAAATGTATGAGTTCTAATCGGCTGCCTTTGTTGTAACCTCTTGGGGCCAGCAAGGATATTTCCCACTCCTACAAATGCTGGTGGGATTCTTCCCCCTTTTATTGGCAGCATCAGAACAAGCTGCATATGGAGATAGGACGGGGCCAGTGTGTGTTATAGATGGAAGAATACCTGATATAAGGCATTATAAAGCATAATATGCTAGAATACAGGCAACGACCAATTTACACGGGTTCAATATGTGTGTGGCCATGGACGTGCACATCGTGGCGACCCAGAAGTGGCTGGAAAATGGGGAACAATGGGCTTATGCGTGCTCTGCTGTCGCATGTGATGACCTGGAGATTGAAGAGGCCAGTCCCCTGTGTTACTGGAGGAATCACCAATCTGGATACATTCCCTGATTCGAAAGAGGGAAGTCTCATTGACACAACAGACAGCCCTCACAGGGGTGGTCAAAAGCAGATCATCGATTTTCTCAGCAAAAGAGAGCAAATGCTCCAATCGGTCCTGATGAAGCAGACTTACTTCCTGCAGCAGATACTGACTGGATGGTGGCAAGACCAGAATGGTAAAGCATGCAGAGATGCCACAGGCAGCCTCCCTTGTAGGTAGACACGTTGCTCTCCCAGGAGATGTTAATGATGCAGTTTAAGCTAGTGTGTTGTCATGGTCAGAGTGCTGCACTAAGGGCAGGGAGATCCAGCTTCAAATTCCCACTCCCCCATGAAGATCACTTGGGCCAGTCAGCATCTCTCACCACAACCTAGCTAACAGGGTTGTTATGAGGAAAAAGTGGACGAGGTGGGGACTATGTAAACCACTCTGGGGTCATTGGAAAAAGTCATAAAGAAAGAAACACGTTTTCACAATGCACAGAGATGAGGAACCTGTGGCGCTTCAGTTGTTGCTGGACTACAAATCCATTCATCTCTGACCATTGACCATGCTAGCTGGTGCTGATGGGAGCTGGAGTCCAACAACATCGGGAGGGCCACAGCATCCCCACCCCTGTATGACTAGTTCCCTCTTGGTATACAATCTGAACATGACTATACTTGCCCCACCAATTCTGACATTCTCTGCTCTAACCCTCCTCTAACTCTACTGCCTCCATAGAACTGTACAGGCTATGATGTCAGCAAAGGAAGCAATTGCCTGAATTCTAAACCCAGGGTTTTTAGTCCATGTGTGTGTGCGCATGGCACATCCTTGGCTGCCAGAATTTGAAGATGAACTGAACTCTGCTTTGGCTTCCTGCTGCCTTTTAGGGGGATAGTAAAAAACAAACGTGTGCACATTATTAAACACCCGATGGAATATGTGCAAAGTCGGAGAGGGGCGTGTGTGTGTGTGTGTGTGTGTGTGTGTGTGGAGCAAGAGGAGAAAAATGTTGCAGTCAGTTTCTGGAGCAAGGTTGCTAAAAGAAATAAGCAGTGCTGCTTTGTAAACAGAATCCATGTTGCACCGTTACAGCCATGCTGTGCTTCATAACCTTACATGGCAAAAGAAAGGCTGCATTACAGAAAAGAAAAGAAAAAAAACCCCTTGGAGGTAGAATTATGAAACTCTGGGAGTCAGTTTCATTTCTAAATGTCATGCTGTTGTGGTTCTCAGCCCAGTCTGTTCAGTGTCTGCTCTATTCACACTGTCCTTTGTATGGCAAAAGGATCCGCTGCCCACAAGAAATGTAATACCCCCCCTATGTATTGGAATGATTGGAGGGCACCTGAAATGTTTAGATAAATCCTAAGGTTGCCTAAACAAGAGTGCTGCTTGAATAGGGTCACAGAGACGGGAGGAATGCAAGCTCAATGCAGACAACTGGGATCAAAAGTAAAATAAATAAATAAATTCAGGAACCCTGGGAGGCAGTCTCTTGGATACCAGTGGCACAAAAGGGATCTTTGTAGGAGGGAGTCCTTTTCAGTTACAATAGACCAGGCTAGGCGGGCAACAATCTTTTTGTTTAAAAAACAGAGACTGGCAGCTCAATTTACAACGTGTTTAAGATGGAGTCTTGAAGGCTGCAATCCCAAGTGAAGCAAAACTCTTGCTAAAGACTCACTTCTGAGTAAATGTGCCTAGGATTGGTATCACATGTCTTGTGCCTCACTTGCCCAAGATCTGAATGCCTGCCCCCAGCTTGACACATCACTCCTCAGAAAATAACAAAGTCCCTGATTTTATTTATAATGGTCTGTAGAGGTACTGCAGCTTAAGGAACCAGACCGGGAAAGGGGAAAGATTATGGGCAGTTGAGGAAATGGCAGGAGTTGGGAAGAAAGTGTGATGAACATTCATTTGTAATGTTTTCGAATCCGGAGTTCTAGAGAGCAGGGCTGGGGAGCCTTTTGGGTACAGCATTAATCTAATATTGGCCAGCTGGCTACAAATAAAAATGTACCTGTGATTTCTTTCATAGGCACACTCTCTCCAACAAAGAATTTGCTGAGAGGCTACATATATGGTTAACCAAGCAGGTGGTGCCTGGCTGGGGGATGATTTATTAAGGAAGTAGAAGTTGGCACTTCCTGCTCGCAGGTTCTTCTCCTGAAGTGTGATGCCTTATGCAAGGCTGGGGGGGAATCTGTTGCCTTCCAGATGTTGCTAGGCCATAAAACTCCCATAATCCCTGAGCACTGGCCATGTTGACCAGAGCAGGTGGGAGTTGGAGTCCAGCAAATATCTGGAGCGTCAGAGATTTCCCACCCTGCTTTAAAAAATGGCAGTACTGGATTGAACCAAGACAAGCTTAAGACAACAAAATGCAAAATCGAAATGTGGCTGATGGGCTTTGTTTAACTTGGTGGTTCACAAATCGTGCAAGTTTGGCCCTAAATGTATTTAGGAACTCACAAATCTGATCACTGGTGAAATCTCTGTTATGCTCCTTATGGGTATGCAGAAGCACGAAACAGGCTTGCATCTCACATCACCAGGGGAAAAACCACCCAAATCAGTCTTGCCAGTTCTTTTACAAATACTCAGTGGAGAAAATATGTTCAGACTTTGGATGCAAATTTGTTGTAGTCCCCTTTCTCTTTCTTAGGAAGTTCTGTTGGAAACAGACTGCTGGAAACATTTATTCAGGTTCTACTTGGGGAAAAAAGCCTTGCATTTCCTCCCTAGGCTTTGTGATTTATCTCCTGCATTTCAAGGCAAATTTGCATAACACTCACTGAACTCCCATCTTCAGAGCTGCTGGTTTCCCTCTAGGTCCAACGAAGGCAAAGCAGCATTTGATGTTTCCTTCTTCACAAGTTGGGAGGATCAGCAGTATTGGACTGAGGGGGTAAGCTCTCTGAACTAATTTTAAATTCATCAGTCAGCAAGAAGCAAGCTTGTTCTGTTTCAGCCTACCAGGGCTCAGCCTATAGGATGCAGGGGAAGTTTTGAGTTACCTTAAATCTTAGTCAAGTAAGGACACTTTGGATGATACTGCTGATATATGCAGCACTTTCCATCTCTTCCAGGTAAAGATGTCAAATTCTCCTCCAGCAAACCACCTGCAAAGAAAAGCAGAAATTTGACATCTGAAGTTTTCCTGCATCTGCATGCTGGAACAGCTTCACCTGATTTAATTTCTGTTTGTCATATAGCCATTAAAGGAACAAGAGTCCAACAAGGGGAAAAGCTTCACAGGTTCTGTTTGAAAGACCATTTTGCCATTTGCTGGCCATGGGAAATCTGGCAACATACAACTTCTAACCTATGGTCTTCTGGTCAGCCCACGTACTGTCACATACAGGGCTCAGGTTTGGGTATTCCACTGCAAACTCTCAATACTGATGTTAGTTATGGCGTTCCAGATGCTAAATCCTGGATCTGGCTGTGCAAATGCACCATTGCCTAGAAGTTAGCATAGCTTTGGGTGTCTCCTAGGGAAAGGTAGCATCCATCAGTGGTAGAATGTTTGCTGTGGGATGCCCTCCTAAGAGAGGTTTGCCTGGTTGCCAATTTTTACTCTCTTTTTTTGGCACCAGGTAAACTCTCTCTCCAGCTCTCTCTTTAATTATCCTAGGCTTTCAAGACGGAAAGCCTCTGTGGGCACTTGTGCGCCCATGGGCCCCGCACACGGACCAGTCTCTAAGGGGCCACAATACTCTTTAATTGCTTTGGCTGCAATTGACCTACCACCACTCCTCTGGAAACCATTCAGTCAAATAAGCAAGAGCGAGGCGCGCTAGCAGCAGCTGCTGCTGCCCAGAGATGGACTGTGAGAGCAGAGCAGCTCCCTTCGCCGATGATGATGATGATGATGTCACGGCCGGAGTCCTTCCTCAACTGCCCTGCCTGTGACCCTGGAGGGAGCAGGAGAGATCCGGCCGACAGCCCCTCCGTTTCCTCCTGCCCGGGGCGGGAGTGCGGCCAGGACCTCTGGGGCTCTCTAAGGCTTGCGGCTCGTCTGCGGGTTCAACCTCGTGGTCTTGCTGGGACCGCGGGGACTCTTCCCCCCCCGTCTCCCTCTCTCGCACTTGGCGCTTGTGCGACCCCGGGAGGAGCGAGCGGCGGCGCACCCCAGCCCCCTCCTGGGCGGAGCTCGCCGCTGCGCTCTTCGGAGAGCCGCCGCCGAGACTGCTGCGCGCTCGCCCGGGCAGTGGCGCGGCGGAGCTGGAGCCGACGAGGCGCGCGGAGATCGCGGTGGCTGATCCGCGGAGATCGCGCCGGCTTCGCCATGAGCTTCCCTCGGCCCTTGCGCCGATCCGTCAGCCTGAGCTCTGCGCGGACCCTGAGGCTCGTGGTGCTGGGACAGGGCGCCGTGGGCAAAACAGGTATCGTCCCGTCCACTCCCGGGGGTGCGGGTATCCTTGAGCACAGGGAGCAGGGGGGACGTTTCGCCACTCGAGCGCCGATCCTTCCCTCTCGGGGTGGGTAACCCGCGTCCCTTCCTTCTCCACGTGGAGGGCCGGCCGGCAGCGCTCTTTTCCCAACCCATAGAAATCGTCCCCTGCAGGCTGCGCTCCCGCCATTAGCGCCAAAGAAGAAACTTTCCGGCTCGGCTAAGATCTTCTTCCTGGGTCTCGGATCTACAAAAGGCGCTGGCTCTGAGACAAGCCTTCCCACCTTAAAAATAATCTCCTTAACAATCCCCAAACTGAGCCGCAAAAAGCAGGGAGGGTCCCGCTGCCGCTACTCTAGAAGTTAAACTCCCCGCTTGCAAACCGAATTTGCTGCCGGAAAAGAGGGTCCCTTGTCAGTGTATCACGTTACACAGACGTGGGGGTTTCGCGGACGTTTCCCCGCAAAGTGTGCCCCCTTGAACCCCTGTGGACCTCCCCGAGCCAGTCGGGGAGAGAGAGTAGAAGACATGGCCGCTCGCCCTTCTTCCCACGTTCCCCTGCTCCGAGTCTCACCTCGGTACCAGGTGAAGGACCACCTGGAAGGCACTAGGTTGGCAAAGGCTGATTTGGAGGGTTGCAGGCTCTCCATGATGTATATGTTAAACTTGCAAAGCAAAATCCCATACTCAACATCTGTTTTGACAGCCAAGGAGTAATTGGTTTGTTTCCAGTAATCCCGAGGACTGCCACTGCGCTGCTCACCTCATCCAGCCATCTTTACCAGGCTCCCAGTGACAGGGAAACCTCAGATAGCCCACCAGAAATTGGCTAGTAGTGGGCTACAGTTTGGCTTAGTGTGCATATTGCCTTGCATTTCTTGCTTTAATTACTTTTGTCATTTAATCCCACTCATCCTCAGGGGAGTGCAGGGCGGTGGTGTAGCTGTGTTGTTTTAGACTCCGGACTTAATGGTTTCATGTACCACAACCTCTTTAGACAATGATGTGCATTACTTCAAAATGTGACAAGCCAGTGCTGCTGCATTCGGGGTGGGAGGCTTCTGCTCATTGTGCTGAGTGGGGTCCTGGACGTATGTCTCAAAGCCATGCCTTGATAGCACCCTTGGTTCAGAGAAGCATATATGTCGTGTCTTCCTAAACAACAACCCTGTTGGGTAGGATGGCCCAAACATCATGTGCTTCATGATGAGACAGGGATTGGGCAAAGTCACACACTCTTATCTGCTGCGCTGCCCTGGTTCTCCATGAAGTTAGGCTGAGAGACCTATGGCATGCTTAAGCCCACCCGTTGAGTTTTATAACCAAGGAGGGAATTGAAATGGGACATTCTGACTTAACTTAATTGTTCTCAGAGTACTTCCTACAAAATGTGCCCCCACCCCTTGTTGACATCGAGAAAGTTGTAAAATGATGTGTGAAAGAAGTAGAGGGAAATGCCTCTTTCAGCTTCTTTCATGTGTTCAAACATGGGAGGAGATCAAAAGGAAGGGCATTTACAAAGCAGCTTTTTCATCCAGAAGATCAAATGGCTCAGGATCACAATATTGCAATACTATCCCTCTGTGTTCACCATCTGAGGCTCTTCTTCGTGTGCCTCCTCCATGGGAAGGTGGCAACATGAAAACAGGCCTTTTCTGTAGTGGCTCCCCATTTGTGGAATGCTCTATTTTAGGTGCCAGGTGAAAATATTTGTCTTCAACCAGGCCTTTGGCTGATTAATATTCTACAGACTTTTAAATGTGTCTGTGGGAAGCATGGGTTATTGTTTGTTGTTTTTGTTTTAACTATTCACTTGTGTTTTTACCTTGTATTTTATTCTGTGAACCGCCTTGAGATCTTGTGATGAAAGGGCGGTATATAAATTTAATAAATAAATAAAATAAATAAAAATCAAGATCCTTTTCAGGTTGAAAGGACATTGAAATCCCACCCCCTCTGCAACACACATGCGATTCGCCACTAGATGGTTGTTTCAACAGACCCATATAGGCATGTTGCACATTTCCCTGCGCAGTGGGATGTTCTGGCGTGTAATTTCTTTGGATAAAAGAGCACTGGAGACATATGATGCCTTTGCAATATATGCTTTATTTACAAATGTACAACTAGAGTATAGTTGAAAGCAAGCAGACTCCTGAAAACAAGTAGCAGATTCCCAGAGGCGTAGCCGATTCTCAGAGATCTGTGCACTTCCAGTTTTTCAGATAACTAGGAAAAGCTACATATGACTTCAGTGCTTTCATTTTGGAGGAAAAAGAAACTGCAGTGCCTCCATCCTGAGCGTTCTCTTAGTTTAGATGAAGAGCCTGTACTTGTGTTCTCCTGGAAATTGCTCCCCCCTGACTGCTTTTTGTCACTGGATGTGGGCAAATAGCTGCCACATAGGTGATGGGATCTGGATCAGGAGCACCTCTTTAGATAAGGATTCCCAGCTGCTATAACTCCAAAATAACAGCAGCTAGGGTAAGCAAGCTTATGTTAAACTACTAATATCCTATGTAGTTTGGCCCTAACTCTAGCTAGAAACTCTCAGTGGCTCTTTCCCTCTTCATCCTTTTGTGCCTGTCCATTGTAGGCATCCAGTCAGAATTCATAAACTGGCTGGTTCCTGTTCAGGAAAATGACCCACAAGCAATTGGGGGAAAAAGTCTTCTTCCTGAGTACTCATGCACAGGGAGCCAAACCCACAATACCCATCCCCTATCAAGAGATGAGTTAAATGCTTGTGGCTGCCAGCGTTGCTCAGTAAAAGACAACATAGCATGTTAACAAGAACAAAGAAAATGCAAGAAGATACATGACATCATCAATACATGTTTGGTTTGTTTCCTCTGGACTAAAACAAATTAACTCTCACCATTCAAATCACCAGTGTTGGCAAAAGGGCAATGTCTAACCCTTGAAGAAGGCTCTTGCCCTGGGCATGCCAGTTTATATCCTATTTAATTTCATGTTCATTAGGATGTCCTCAGCCACAGCCCCTCTCCTAGTCCTCCATCACTTGGGTGAGTTTCTAAGATGAACAGAGCTAACATAACATGACGATACAGAGAATCTCTCTATACTGTTTTCCTAGAACTTCATTCCAAAAAGAAGTATCTGTATCACCGAAGGCTTTGTCATTAACATTTGCTATTTTGTAGCAGGTTTGCATTTTTCCCAGGCACCCACTAACCCCCTCCACCTTATACTATGTATGAAATCAAAACACTTATTTCTGAAAATGCCACCCCACAGTTTCCCCTGGTGCGTATAGTATTTCTCTTCATCCAGAGGCTGCACAAGAGGACTCCGCTTCTGTTGCTTTTCATGCTGATTGGCAAAGGATCCAGACACAATGGATGTGTGTGTTGCACAGTTTGATTGCAACATAGCTGATTTCTGTTTCACAAATAGCTGGCACGGGGGGAATTGTGGGAGCTGAGTCAGCTCGGGAGCATGGTGAAGTTACTTGAGCACTCAAAGTATTATTAAAATGATACATATATTGTTATTCTGAGATTCCCATTGCGGACATTTGTTGCGGGCTAAAAAGTGAGGTTCAAGTACAGGTTGACTCTTTAATCTTTAACAGGGCCTTTTCTCTCTCCAACTGCTACCTCAGAGGAGTCACTTACAATGGCAGGCTTAGATTTCCACCAGTTGCCAAAGCAATGATGTTAAATTAAGCAGCCCTATAGGAATGTGCCCACACCAAAGGGTGGAATTCATCTAGCGAGTCCCATCAGCGCAAGACCTGTGTGATGGGGCTTCTCCTTCAGTGCCTACTCACTGCAATGCCCTGTGAAATTGGCTGTGGATGTTGGTAGCCAAATTAGATTTGGCTAATCCTAGAGGGGCCCCAAAAGCAACTTTAGTCTGCACTGCTTAAAACATTTGGGTCTAGCAGTGGTATTTGAGTGGCATGACTCAAATTGATTTTATATATACCAAAGTTTGAGAGTCAGTTGCACAGACGTAAAGGTGTGGTGTTCTGTCGTGGAACAACCCCAGATGTTGAAGAAGATAGCAGGGGTTAGCCAGACCTTGTTGCTGGTTGTGAAGGGGCTCCCATGACAGTTCAAGTTTCAGGACCCCCAAATGTGGGTCTGCCACTGCCTGCCTCCTCAGCTTTATTTGTTTTGCTACCCCCTTGGTTTCCTGGCCTACAGTGTCTAGGTCTCCAAATCCCCCTGAAAAGTTCATTCTTTCCCTTCCTAACAGCAAGTAGCCCCTTGTGTTCCTCGTCCTGTGTGAAGATTTGATCAGCTGAAGGGACCTTTCACATCTGTCCTAAGGATGACCCAGTTTGCCAACATTTTATTGTTGACAACTCTCCCCATCCTTGAGCAGCAGATAACCCCTGAGTGTGGCACGGAAGATACAGGCATCATGAAGTTTTAAACTAGTATATATAAGATTTCCTGTTGAAATTGAGAAAACAAGCTGAGGCTGAAAATACAACCAGGTTTGCAGTGTTAGGTTTCAAAGCGTGCTCCTTTACAATTAATTTCCCTTGCTTCAAGAAGGAAGGAAACTTCACAATTCACTGCAGGTGCAATGTGGTTTCCCTAATCATAGCCAATGCAGGTTTCAGTGCTTCGGCTGAAGATGCCCTAATAAAACTGTCCGCTTCCCCATAGAGTGCCAGAAGTTGAATAGCAGGTTACTTTCTTTGATGTAAATGAAAATGTGCCACTTTAATTTGGAACTTTCAGAGGGGTGGTCATGTTAGTCTGTTGCAACAGAAACGACTTCTGGCAACCTGGAGATCAACATATTTATTATGGTTTAAGATTTTGCGGATTAGAGTCAATTTCATCAGATGCAATCCTCAGTGGATAGGTGCTTATACATTGGTGTAAAGGGTGCGGGGGGCAAGAGCAGGTGTTGGAATCAAATAACAATGCAACACAAAATCTGTTGCCTGTGACAGTTACTTGGAGCATACATGCATGTAAAATAAGTACAGTGAGCCCACACAGCAACAGT